ATTTTAGCCTCCTGGTCCTTCTGGATTCAATGAGTGACTGACTGCAAGTCAAGAGCTCAGAACGGTACTTGGTAAAACGTCCCAATATGCGMATTGCCTCTTGTTGGTTGATGTCATTATTCTGACCCACGCTCACAGATGAAGACGGGAGCCATGATGTATTAAGCGGATGTTTTACGTTCTCCATCCCCCTGGCCCAGAGCTTCCCTGACTGTTCCCAATGTTAAGAAAAAAGTACAATATAAACTCAGCTGGGCCGTTAAACCCCTTCGTCCTTTGGTGTGACACAGAAGGTGTGTTTCGGTCACCTGGGACAGGTAACTGTGAAGCCCCAGCAGCCAGTGACACCTCTGTTCTGGAATGTTCTTGATCCCTGACATTGCCTTATGAGAACAGGGTGGGAGGACGGGGATGGCTGTAAATCCACCCGCCGGGACACTCACAGGACTGATCATGGCCTTCCCAGCCTCCTTGGGRGCGCTCCTCCTTGCCTGTCGCCAGCCCCCCCCCCCCTTTGTCTAGGTTTACCTGCCTACTTCGGGCAGCCTTCTGAGGCCACTGCATCTTAAGCAGGTCCCCTGACCCTGGTCAGTAGCTCTGACTYTTCTGTGAGTCTGTTTCTCCCGTGGTTCTTAATGCAAGTCACAGTTATTTTATGCAGTTGCCTTCTGACTTCAGCGTGTCTCTGCCCCCTGTCTGTGAGCGCCAGGAGACACGGGTCAACCTTGTTACACTCGTCATTCCATTTCCAGTGCCTAATGGAGGGTCAGACACGTGGGCCTTCCCTTGTGTGTTCCTAATGAAAAAGAAGAAAGTTCATATAGCCAGGTTTTCATTTCCCAGCTTATGATCATGTGTACTTGCAAACAGCCTTATGAACGCTTTTGCCCAGACATCTAGCCATGGGGACATTTGCTGGAGGGTAAGAAAGAATATTTGGGGGAACAAATAGATGAATCCCAGCAGCTCGGGARGCTGAAGGAGGAGGATCGTGAGTTCCAAGCCAGCCTCAGCAACAGCGAGGCCCTAAGCAACTCAGTGAGATTCTGTCTCCAAATAAAATACAAAATAGGGCTGGGGGTGTGGCTCAGTGGTTGAGTGTCCCTGAGTTCAATCCCTGGTACCCCCCCTGCCCTCACCAAAAAAAAAAAAAAAGATGAAGCTCTTTTTCTAGGATTCTAAACTGCTCTATTCTTTTAGTTATCTGAATCGGGGTTTTTTTTTTGTTGTTGTTGTTGTTGTTGTTCTCTACAAAAAATAAGCCTGGAAGATTGGCCTCATTTTTTAGCATGCACTTGTTTCCCGGTGAGAATTTTGCAGACAAGGACTTCTTAGGTTTCTCAAAGGCAAGAGTGCTTTGTAGCCTCCGATAGTTTTATTGGGTGGAGAAACCTCCATGAGACTGAAGTTTGGGGACCATCACCTAACGCTGGCCTTGGAGATGAAGATTTTGTGTCTAGTACAGGAAGGCGTTAGTGTCACGGAGATTGAACGCAGGGGCTCTGAGCTCGTGTGCCAGGCCTGTGTCTCGGTTCTGCCACCCACTTGTGGAATCTAAAGCAAGCTACCTACCTTCTCTGTGCTTCAGACGCTGTTTCTGGGATGGCCAAAGAAGTACCTACTTCATGGAATCTCCAGGCACAGCGAATGACTCTGCCCAGAGCTCTTGGCCCAGGGCCTGGCATGGGGCTAACATTCAATAAATAGAAACCATTGTCTATTTTCAGCCATTAGCAGGGAGACAGTAGGTCTAGCGGGACATTTCCCAGACTACGAAAGCATTGTAAACCACTTTTCCGATTCATTGATTCATTCATTAAGAATTTATTAAGCCACTACTATATGCTAAGCCCTGTTGTAAGGGCTGGGGACACCAGCCAGGTATGAATGGGGCAGACAAGGTCCCAGCCCTCCAAAAGGAGCCTTACAGTGATCATTCAGACACATTAAAAATGGAAACCCGGCATGGGGGGTGGGTGCCCCAAATTCCCAGCCACTCAGGAGGCTGAGGCTGGAGTCTGGAAATTTGACACCATGTGGGCAACATAATAAGACTCAGTCTTGAAAAAAATGAAACAAAAAAAAAAAAAAAAAGGAGATTTCAGGCAGGGAGAAGCATCTCGGAGGCAATAAGGCAGTGGCYCTGCAGTGGGGAACATGGGTGGGCTCTTCTTCATTTCCTAAGCCAGAGCTACTAGACATTTCCCTCTAAGTGGAAACTGTCCTACTCCCAAGCCTGCCACCAGGGTTTGTGTACATGCACAAGAACTGCACCGTGCCCAATGTCCTTGCAGACAATGTTAGAAAGCAGACGTATGGAGCTTTAACATGGGTAAGAGCTGGACTCAAAGGAAAATGAGCCCCGGTGGATCTCTGTGAAACCCKGCTCTCCTCCTTTGTGACCTGGGGAGGAGGCTACCTACTTCGTGGGCTGGTGTGAGGCGTCAATGAGATAATGAGTGTAAGGGAGCCCAGCCTTATAGCCTTTAATTTTGAAAACGATGCAGAGAGTTTGGCATTCATATTCCCAATGTCTGAGTAGGAGAATCCAGGCTCAGAGAAGTTAGGGTAAGCAGCAGAACCAGGATGCAAACTCTGGAGTTTGAACTCCATTCAGATTCGGAACTGACGTGGTGTCTGCAATGGAATCTGTCCCCAGCCGGGTGTTCACGTTGGGAGCCAAGGGAGAGAGGGGACAGAGGCAAAAAACGGGAGGAGATGTTTCACTAAAGACTCTTGACACAAAACCAGACCTCTCCAGCAAGGTCTGCAAAGCAGTGAAAGAAGACCCAGAAGACCCACAAAAGAGGACAACGTGTTTGCCAATCGGATATCCGCATGTCCAGAATATGTAAAGAGCTGTTATAATCCAACAATAAAGAATAACCCAATGAAAAATTGGCGAATGCACATTTCTTTGAAGATGATATAAAAATAGATCAATAAGCACACGAAAAGATGCCCGGCACCATTACTTATTGGGGAAATGAAAATCAAAACATCAGAATGATGAGATTCAGACCAAGAAGAAAGGTCTGTTAAGAGTTCTTGAGGGATAGCTCACTGGCTGACAGAGGACCCAGTTTCCAGTTACGTGGCCTACCCTGGGGTTCCTTCCTAGGGGAGACAAACTCATTTTAAGTGGATAACATGGATGATAGCACATGTGCTTGGAAGTTTATTGCTACCCCAGGGCCTTTGCATTTCCTGTTCCTTTACCAATCTTTCTGTTTCTGGCACAAGGGTTGGGGTCGCAGGGGTCCTGGTCCAGGTTCTTGTCCCTGGGCAAAGAATTGAGCAAGAATAAAACGTTGGCCGGCAAGAAAAAGGTTTATTTGAAAGTAACACTTTGGGAGTAGCAAGATAATATTCTGGAAGAACAGAGTCAGCCAGGCTGCGAAGTAGTTCAAGGCCCTGTCTACACAATGAAGCTCACTTTTATTGGGCTGTGCTAGTTCTCTCCCTTCAGTTCTGGGTGGATCTGGGGTTGATTGGCACCTTGATTGACAGCTGAATTTTATACAATTACTTTCCTTCTACCCAGGCCTAAGTTGCTTCCTGCTCTCGTCTACCCCGCAAAATGCATGGATTGGGACAAAACTGCAAGGTTAATGATATGTTAATGAGCAACAAATTAACTTTAGGTCACACCCTTGGGCTACTGCGCATGCTCAAAACCGTGGGCTTTCTTTTCAAGGTCTTGCAATCTCCTGGGGTCGCCTAGCGTTCTCACTKTAACCACRAGATGGCCCTGTTTCCCCCTCACAGGAGGGGGCTTCAGGTAGCGTGTTGTGAGGGTCCTGAGTGGGAGCTGAGAGCCCCAAGGTGGTCCCTTCCCCACGCCCTGTCTGCTGCCTGACATTCCCAGGGCGGGCTTCTCGGCCTTCAGCTTTGCAAGTCACTCTTTCCAAAGTGGAGCCTCTTCTCTCCGCCATCCGCCTGCACTGGTCCTTCTCTCAGACTTGCCTTTTTATTCTCTTTGCGGTACTTGGGTACTTGTCTCTCCTCTAAAGGGACCTTGTTTACTTGCTAATCTGTGTATGGTCCATAGACATTTTGGAATATTTCCAACCCTGTCTGTCCTCCCCTGTTCATTTCTTGCATATAAAAGGGTAGGAGGATACTTTTTTTTTTTTTTTTTTGCTACTGGGAATTGAACCCGAGGGTGCTCTACCACTGAGCCACATCCCCAGCCATTTTGATTTTTGATTTTGAGACAGGGTCTTGCAATCCTCCTCCCTTAGCCTCCAGAGTTGTTGGGATTACAGGATGCACACTTGTCTGTGTGGAGACTTTTAATCAATAAAGGGTGTGGGACATCCTTTAAGTACGTCCTTATGAGAATTCTTCAAAAGTATGATTCTAGAACTTACATAATGTCCCACGTCACACACAGAATGTATTGTATTTTATTTAGTCAATCTTCTGTATTGGAATCAATAATTATATCAATCTCAAATTTTTCATATTTATAATAATGACAACAAAAATATCAATAAAGCAGTTGCTGGGTGCTAGGCACTATATTTTCATGTTAACACATTTTATAATTTATAACTAATGCTGGGATGAACATTTAGTATGTACTATTCTGCCTTTCCATTTCATTAATGGTTTTCATATTTTTAAAAAATATATATTTTTTAGTTGTAGTTGGACACAATACTTTTATTTCACTTATTTATTTTTATATGGTGCTGAGGAGCAAACCCAGGGTCTCACACGTGCAAGGCAAGTGCTCTACCGCTGAGCCACAACCCCAGACCCTGATTTTCAATTTTAACCTCTTGCTAAAGTTTTTTTTTTTTTTTTTTGTACAAATCTTACATAGGCACTAAAGTTTGTTTCTGGTCTTTCAAAAAATAAAATCTTGGTCTGGGGTTGTGGCTCACTGGTCGAGCACTTGCCTGGTGCATGTGAGGCACTGGGTTCGATTCTTAGCACCACATAAAAATAAATWAATTAATTAATTAAGATATTAAGATACAACTAAAAAAATCTTTTAAAACTTATCATTTATTTATTTATTTATTTTTGCTATGTGAGTATACCAAATATTCTGATTTGTTGAATTGCCATTCTGAAACTCTAATTTTAGAACACGTTCCTTTTATTCAAACCATCTCTTCTCTTTCAAAGCCATGACGATTCCTCTTCTTGCCTTTGCATGTCTGAGACATATCTGGCCATTGGGAATCAAGTGAAAGCTGATCMATCTGCCTCTGTCTTGCTGTCTCTMTGTCTGTCTTTACATTTGTCTCTTTCTCTCTGCCCTTCTCCCCGATCCTGCCCTCCACACAKACCTGTAGAATGACATCAGTCTCTCAGGGCAGCCCGAAGTCCTTTTGTGCAGATTGAAGAAGTTTCTTTATATAGATCAGTGCTGTTTTAGAGTCTAAACTCCAGATAGAAGGCTCCCATCCAAGTAGCTTGATGTTCGTGGGCACTTGGTACATATTTTTAGTAATAAAGCCTGAGTTTTCAGATGACTTTAGAATTTCTTGYTTAGGTTTTTGCTTGCTCCTGAGTTTTTGCGCCTACAGGTATTTCTGGGAATTCTGAGACTGGGTTTCCAGATGACAAGTGCATTTCCTCTTGATCATCATTAACTCATCTTGGGCCTTTGCTCCTTCTCCTCCCTATAAACATCTTCAAGGACAAGTGAGAATTATTTTTTTTGCCTGTCAATCAAAAGCCAAAAGGGAGGGAGGCATTCTGCCAGGCTTGATGGACAGTATTATAGGATGCTCCTTTATTGATGGGGTAAGTCTATTAAAAGAGAAAGCTTTCAGACCATCAAAGCCGTGTCCCCACCAAAGGACAARTCATAGCCAGCCCTTTAGAATGCTTCAAGCAACTAGACTGTAAACTGCACGGAGGCAAGGACTGTGGTGTTTCATTTTGTCCACTGATGTCACCTGTCTGAGCCTCCGTTTTCTCATGGGGAAATGGTGAGAGCCGCTTTCTTGCAAACCTTGCTGGGATTTGTGAGGCACAGGTGAAAATGGAGGGAGGGAGGGAGAGAGAGAGAGAGAGAGAGAGAGAGAGAGAGAGAGAGAGAGAGGAGGAAGAAATCAACAAAAGCTTGGCTAGGGAGATCCATTAAGAACACTTTTGTGTTTTTAAAGTGGGTCCACAGAGCACTGGGGATGGAGCACCCTGCAGCAATCCCACATCAGCAACCTCTCAGCCCATTCCAGGGAAATCCACTGAGTCATTAAGAGCAGYATTCCCTGAAGTGTGCAGCATCTGCCGCATCTTAGCCTTATGATCAAAGGATTCCCAGCAACCTGCTTACTAAAGTCCCGTGCCCCACTGAAGAGCCACAAGCCACAGCYGTTGGCCAAACTCTCCATGAAGCTCCAAAGGAGAGGGACCCTTAACTAGCCCCGGSGCATCTCAAGTTCATCCTCCTCCAGCCCCAGCCCCTTTGGGAAGATGTATGAACATCAGGCAGAACCAGCTGTCTGAGAAGCGCTGCTTTGGAAAGTCTGGCTTGGCTCTTGACCTTCCTGAACCAGAGGATTGCAGGCGTGTTCAGCTTATGAGCTGAACGTGTCACTTTTCTGGATAAGGAGCTTTGAATGGACAAATAGCAAGTCTTGAAGGAGCAAGCTGAGACTAAAGGCCAGTTTCCAAATACGGATCCGTTAGTCCAGAGTGTGAGGATATCTGTGAGCTCCAGACCAGCCAGGAAAATTATCCTAGGGAGCTGAGCCTTGGCCAATCTCTCCGTCACCCACAGCATTGTCCTGGGTCTCCTGGATATTTCCCAGAAAAGTTACTGGCAGAAATGAAGGCCATTACTAGAGAAGGGGAGGGAATCATAGAACAGAATTATGCAAGTTCATTTATTCATTCATCAAACATTCATTACCTGCTGACCATGTGCCTGGAATTGTGCTAGGTGACGGAGCTACCCCCAGGACTCACATACACAAACCCACGCCAAGAAGTAAAGTTAGCCCAAGAGAGTTTTTTTCATTCATCTCTCCTTTCCTCCAACCCTTTTCCTTTTATTATGGCAAATTTCAAAAGTATCTAAAAGTAGACAGGGTAATCTAGTGAATTCCTGTGTCCTATAACCTAGCTCCAACAACCACTCATTAGTAGCCACTCTTAGTTTTTTTTTTTTAAATTTTATTTTACATATATCCCCCCCGCATTGTGTGTTATAATAAATACAGCCATTATAGCATTTCATCAGTAAATCTAAATGGGATTTAAAATATAAATTCTTTGATAGGAACACGCAGATTCACATCTTGAAACAGACCTAGTCTGTATCACCAACGATCAAGGACTGACAGGATCCCCACTACAGTTTACATTCTAGATCCCCAAATACCAAGGGTGCATGGCCACCCTCTCCCACGTGGTGGCGAAAGTCAGGAAAGTGGCCAAAGAGTCAGAGCCTGCTTGGGTGACCTGCAGATCTGTGACATCTGGGTTTCTGGAAGGGAGCTTTCACACGGTGACACACTCAGACGAGGTCTTGGTCACCTGGAACCACGGAAAGCTCTCTGGGGCTTCAAGCACAGAGAGTAATAAGAGACAAATCGCAAGGATCCATGACCTTAATGCCCCACTGCTCAGGTGGCAATCACAGGAAACCAGAGAGGGTCGGGAGAAGTCCCTGGGAGAGACCTAATGCGTAGTATTCAGCGTTCACACCTCCAACAGACAGGTAGCATCCAGCCCTGCAAGTTGATGGGATCAAGACTTGATATTTCCAAATTTGTCCCTGGTCACTGGGAAAAAAGGGAAATCCTCTGGAAAGTCCTCCTGAAACACCGTTTTGATGGATAAACTGTCCCTGGTGGAGTCTGGGTCAGACAGAAGGAACCCCCAGTTTGGTTTGTCTTTCAGCCTGTGGGCATTTATTTTCTTGGTGACTACCAACCTTGTCTTCCCGGGGAGGTGTGGTCAGGTTCAGGGCAGGTCTGTGGCTTCCCAGGCCAGCCCATGGCCAGATGATGGGTTGGGACAGTGGCTTTCCACCGTCCACCTGTCATCAGCTCCATCTTCTGAGGGTTCATGAGACGGATTGCCTAGTTTTGAGGAGTATTCACTTTGCCTCTTTTCTGTGTGGGGTGCTTTTTCTAGATCCTATGTCTTCCTCGTTCTTGATTTTCTCCCCTTTTGGGGGAAAACCCATCTTCATGGTTCCCCAGGCTTCCTCCAAAAAGTTGCTTGGAAGACATTTTATTTTTATTTTTTTTGACATCTTCAATGTTTGGAAATGTCTTTATTCTTCTTTCTCCCCTGAATGACTATTTGGATGGGTATAGAATAGATGTTGGAAATAATTTTCCTTCGGGGTTTTGAGGTCATTTTCTTGCTCTCCTCTAGCGTTCAGTATTATGGATACAAACTCTGAAGGCCTGATGAATCCCTATTTGGAGAGAAATTATGTCCTTGTATCTGAAATTTCACCTTTGTGTGTCTTGCTGTGTATCTTGTTTCATCTAGATCTTTTTAATCTGAAAATGCATGGGGGAATTTTTCTCATGTTATTGATTTTATAATTTCCTCTCTTCCATTTTCTTTTTCTGGAACTTTCTTGGAACGTTATATTTCTTGGAATTATGTTCTCCTTTCTGTCTCTGTAGATTTGACTACTCTGGGTACTTTATCTGAGTGGAATCATATAATCATATAATATTTGCTCTTTGGTGACTAGCTTCACTTAACATAATGTCTCCAAGGTGCATCCAGGTTGTAGAGTGTGCTAGAATTTCTTTCCCTTTAAAAACCTAATAATATTCCTCTGTATGAAAACATCATATTTTGGTTCTCCACTCCTCCACTGATGGATACTTGGGTTGCTTCCATATTTTCCATCTTTGTGAATTTGGACATTTACTTCCTTGAGTTCCCTAGACATTAACTTCCAATGCTTCTACTATTTTTTTTTAAATCCCACCCCTGTTTTTTTAATGGCTAAGAACCCTGTTTTGCTTCTCAGATTGTTTTCCTTTTTTCCCAACCTGTTTCTGTCTTGTGGACATGACAAGGTTAAATGTCCCTCTGAAGGGGCTGATCATTTATTCTTGAATTTTTCCTCTATTCCTTGAATTATTTCTTTTACTTCATTTCGCCTGTAAACCACAGTTCTCTTCTTTCAGAAGCATTTCTTCAGTGTCTAAACAGTCTCTGGCTGTCTCTTCGTATATGAAAGGGAGACACTGGAAAGCTTCTTGGGAGTTTTACGTGTAAGGATGGAGCTGGTTGGTGCCGGGGCAGACTCTCACGGACCCCTCCTGTCTCCAGCCCTGCCTCTCCTTCCTACTGTCCAAGGCGATACCTTCAGTGCATACCTCCAATTTCTGAACCTTTCTAGGTTTTGCAGGGAAAACCCACTTTCTTTTTGTGGGCTGTTCTTTCTGCAGGATTTAGGTTTCAGTGTTGAGCACTCGGTAAGATTGGCCAGTGCTCAGCCAGCTGTTTTCAAGCCTCTAAGATTTTGTCACCTCCCTTATTTCTTCTCCTGACCTAATTTGTCCTTAGGTGTTAGATCCTTTTTAAAATGTAATTTAAAATGGTATCAGAAGGGAACGAAGAAATAAGAATAGTTATTTTCCATACTCCACGCTGAACCGTAAGTCCTCCTTGGTGTATTTTCAATTTAGCATTAATATTTACCTTCAGGTGACAACAGGTATTTATTCCAATGGCTTGGTCATGGTTTTTATTTTATTTTATTTGTATCAAATTTGTTAGTCACTATTGAAGCAGAAAAACTACCACTGGAAAAGCTAATGGCTTGTATTTCTAGAATAGACACTCACCACTACCACCACTACCACCATCACCGTCATCACCATCATCACCACATCATTATCATCACCACCACTATCATCACTTTCATCGTCATCATCATCAACATCATCAATACTTTTTGAGCCCTAGTTGTATTCCAGGTAGGGAGCTGAAAACTTTTGTCTTTTATCATTTAATCTCCACAATTGCACTTGGATAAGGCCTATCACAACCCCTTATTGTTTGTTGTGATTTGGGGTTGGTTGGTTTGTTTTATACCTGGGATTGAACCCAGGGGGTTCCTGTCTTACAGGACATAAAAACCAAACTCCAGAAAGACTGAGACACATGCTTTGAACATAGACATAACCCACAGCAGAAATGAATTTGAACCCCAATGGGTGGTCTCTAGGAAGTTTCTATAGAAATAAAAGGAGAAGAGGTTCTGCTGAAAGAAGGCTCATAAACCACGCATTCAAAAGGCATGGGATATCTTGTATCCAAATTAGAGTGGTCAATGTTTCAGATGTCATTGAGAATTAAGCCTTGGCCATGGATGCAGTTACAGTCTTCTGAATCAGGGAGCAAATTCTAGTAACAAAACCAGTAGATAGTGAACTCACCCTAAATTTGCCAACATTCTTGAAACTTGCCCGGGACCTCACTTCTTCCATATCTAGAAGGGCAGAGACCTTGCTAGTTTGTGTACCCCTTGACAGAAGGAGAAAACCTAGCCGGGCACGGTGGTATAGATAGGCCTGTATGCCCAGCTATTTAGAAAACTGAGACAGGGGGAAAGTTTAAATCTAATAGTTTGAGATCAGCCTGGGCATTATAACAAGGTCCAGTCTCAAGAAAAAAGAAAAAAGAAGAATCAGAAGGAGTACCAAGGCCTGGAGCCTAGCCTGGCACAAAATAGGTGCTCAATAAATATTTGTGGAAAGAACAAGTATTCTTTCTCCATAGTGGAGGGCCTCATTGAGAAATCATGGGGTTTTTTTCAGACGGAATAAACAGAGATAACTGAGGATGGGAGGGAACATGACAAAAGAAGCCCGAAGCCAGCCTGTGTGCCCCACCTACCAGACTGTGCCCTGGCACAGAGCTATGTCTGCATGGAGGGAGTGTGCCATATTGAAATTCTCAGGAAAGTGCCATATGGGCCAGCAGTACCTCAGTCTGCAGTGGTCCCAACTGGTCCACTATAGACTGGGAG